CAGGCCACACCCCCCATCAGTGCAGAAACCCATGCACTGAGCCTCTAGTTTACATATAATCACCATGGAGTACACAAACATTAACAATAAAAATACTAGGTCCCGCTGGTGTGGCTCAGTGGTTGAGCTTCGATCTATGAACCAGGAGGTCACGGTTCAATTCCCAGTCAGGGCACATGCCCGGGTTGTGGACTCGATCCCTGGTGAGGGGCATTCAGGAGGCAGTTAATCTGATCAGTGTTTCTCTCTCATCCATGTTTCTACCTCTCTCTCTCCCTCTCTCTTCCTCTGTCTCTCTAAAAAAAAAATCAATAAAAAATATTTTTTAAAAAATCATGGTAAGAGAAAAAAATCCTTAAAGGCACATAAAAGTGTTACTATCGTTTTCATCAGTGGTCATAAGCTATCAACCTATTTGCTTTTTTAATAAATCCAAGCCACTTTTCTGGGGTCCTGGCCACTTTCAATCCACAGCAAAACAATAACTCTAACATTAGCTCAGACATTGGAAGTGTCCCTGAACTTTCAGTTTTAGCTTAGGTTTCACCAGCCACTGAAGACATTTTGCAGGGGGTTGCTTGTTCTTCCCATTGTCCCCTGCTTTTGGATTGCCCGAGCGATGTCATTGTTCTGATCCTGGAATGACATTTAGCCTGGGATCCAGCGATGACAAATGTCTTAGGCAAGGTCACCTAGGAAGTGGTCACCTGTGGTAAGCTTGACTCCTGCTGGGGATACTTTTCTCTGTTGTACCTCATCTTGGTGACTCTTCCAGGTGCCAGTACCCTGTCCAGGTCACCCTGCTGCCCCTTGCCACTTTCATCCCCTGTGCCTACACCCTTTGGGGTGTCCCTAGGATAGGGGTGAGGCAAAGGAGGCATCCAGGATGTAAAATGGCAGCTTAGCTGGGGGTCTGAGAGTGAGTGCCTACAGTTCAGTGAGGTGCCTCTCCTGCCTCAGCCCAGTCCTGGCCCTGCTGTGGGCCTCAGCACAATCCTCCGGGTTCTGCTCTAGGACAGAGGATGGGGACAAGGTGATGCAGGCAGCCACCACTTATTCGGAGCACAGCCACATTTCCTGCAGCTTGGAGGCATCTCGAGTCCGTTCCTCTGCCTGAAATCAGGATCACGCCTGAACTGCTGTGCAAATTTCTCACCTTGCTTTTGCAAGAGAAAAACCATTTAACATAATTCCCACCCATAAAGGCCGTCTAGGGGAGAAACTGGCCTAGGGATTCTGGAGCTTTGGGTACAGTCATGCCATCACTAGCTAGTCGAGTCTCTCTGAGATTCCGTTGGTTTATCTGGAAAATCCACAGGGGTTGGACCCAGTGACTTCTCATTCTCTACTGTCCGTGGCATTTTATGGTTCTAGGAGTCTGTTGCTCTGGGAATAATCCTGACAGGATATCATCTTTAGGCCAAAGGCCCTGTGAGCTGTGGTTGGGTGCCAGGGAGAGCACAGGTGCACCAGGTCTTCTGCCAGCACTCGCCCTGCCAGCTGTCTTCTTCTGAAGACGTTGGTCCTGAGCAATGGAGATACGAGGGGTCCTGGTGACTCCCAGAAGCATGTCCTTAGGACAAGGCATCAAGTTCAGCTCTAACGTTAATGATGCAGCAGTAGATTCGGCAGCACCAGAGCTGCCTCCCAACACTGGCACCGCCCCGTGACTCCAGGTACTGCGGGACCGGGGAAGAGGATTCTCTGAGCAAAGCTGTGCCTGAGACTGTGAAATCAGCCACCCAGCCGTGTTTATGTTGTAAAGTGTAGAAAATAGATTATTTTAATTGCTAATTGTTCTCAAAACCCCTGCCAAGATAATTTTTTAAAATGTGGCCTAAATGTTCTCCTTGACAGGCATGGTGGAGGAATTACAGTTTATTCAGAGGCTGACATGCTGCTGATTGAAGCATAAAGAAGAGTAATCAAGGTTGGGTTTTTTTTAATATGGCTTTTAACATTTACAAAGAAAATGATTTCAAGGGGTATGCGCTGCAAAGAAACAAGCTGTAAATAGTTACCAATCAGCCAAATACTCAGACTACTAAGAATGTTCCCTCCACCCACATCTCTTACCACCCTTCCCCCATAATCAGCATCTAAATGTAAGAGGAAATATTCTTTTGTTCCTAACTCTCAGGGAAGGAGATCAAAGGTCAGACGAAGGGCATCCCATGCTCTGAGTCTGCAGGACCTCATCTTGGACAGACACTACGACAGGACCTACAACCACCCCCTGTCCTGACAGAGGCAGGGAGGCAGCCTGGGGAGGCCCCCGTTCCCATGAAATGAGCAGAAGACACTCGGCAGGCCAGCCTCCCACCCGTGCTTCCCAGAACTAGACTTTTAATATGGAAGAAAGGTCAGGGTAGAAGGAGAGGCAATTGGACAGATGTAGAAAGCAAGTCTGTGGATTACCCATTCTTTGAAGAATTTAGCCTAGGATCCAGGGACTATAAATGGCATGGACAAGGTGGAAATGGTCATCCTATGGGCTCTAAAAGGGGATCCTCTCTCCCATTCCTGACTCAGACCCAGCCTCAGGTGTTTCGAGGCACATCATAGCAGCCCGGCCTCCAGACCACTGGGCAGGAAGTGGAAATGGAGGTTGGCTTCAATCCCACACCAGTGACTCAGTCAGTCATGTCTATGTAAGGAAACTGTATGCTGAGGCTTGGGTGACCTGGCTGGTGAACACACCCACATGCTGGAGGGTGATGTGTCCTGATTCCTTAGGGAGAGGCTGCAGGAGCTCTGCTTTGGGATCTCAACCTATATGCCCTTTCACTGACTAGTCTTGACTAGTATCCATTAGAATAAAACTGTACTAATAAGCATAGCACTTTCCTGAGCTCTGTGAGTCTTTCTAATGAATTATTGCACCTAAGGCCGGGTGGTAGGAGCACCCTTGAATTTGAAGCCCAGTTGGTCAGAAGTGCAGGTAGCGTAGGGCCCCCCAAATTTGCAGATGGCCTCTGACATCAGGACAGTGTCACTGGGGACTGTGCCCCAAACTGTGGAGTGGATGCTAACTCTGGGTGCTTGGCATCTGAATTGCACTGCAGTCAATATTTATTTAATATTTTATTTATACTACTTAACATTAATATTTAATATTATATAATATTATTTTATCAATTTAATGTTTTAAATTAATCATTTAAAAATGAGCTTACTTTCTAATTACAGTTGACATACAGTATTATATTAATTTCAAGTGTACAACATAGTGAGTAGACATTTATATTACTCATGAAGTGATCACCCTGATAAGTCTAGTACTGATCTGGCACCATAGTTATTACAATATCACTGGCTATATTCCCTATGCTGTACTTTAAATCCTATTTTGTAACTGCCAATTTGTACTTCTTAATCCCTTCACCTTTTCCACCCATCCCTTCTTAATATCCCTGCTACCTGGCAACCATTATCTATGAGCTTGTTTCTGTTTTGTTTTTTTAGATTCCACATTTAAGTGAAATCATATGGCACTTGTCTTTCTCTGTCTGACTTATTTCACTTAGCATAATACCCTCCTAGGTCTTTTCCTGTTGTAGCAAATGGCAAGATTTCATTCTTTTTTCATGGCTAAGTAATATTCCATTGTTACGTGGGGGGGGCAAAAGTAGGTTTTCAGCTGTAAGTATTCAAAACACAGAGTTTATTCTTGTTTTATTATTTATTAATTACTGTATTATTTTCCATACAAACAACTGTAAACCTACTTTTACCCACTCTGTATGCGTACCACATCTTTATCTATTCATCCAGCGATAGACACCTAGGTTGTTTCCATATCTTGGCTATTATAGGGGCATATAACTTTTCAAATTTGTGCTCAGGATGTCTTCAGATAATACTCAGATATGAATTGCTGGGTCACATGGTGATTCTGTTTTTAATTTTTTGAGGAACCATGATACTTTTTTCCATAATGGCAACATTAATTTACAATCCCACCAACAGTGCACAAGGGTTTCTTTTTCTCTACATCTTCTCCAACACTTGTTGTTTGTTGACTTATTGATAATAGCTATTCTCACAGGTGTGAGGTGTTATCTCACTGTAGTTTTGATTTGCATTTTCTTGATGATCAGTGATGTTGAACAACTTTTCGTTGGTCTGTTGGCCATCTGTATGTCTTCTTTGGGGAAATATCTATTCATATCCTCTGCCCAAAATGCTCTCACATTTTGATATTCCTTTCAGAGCTTAAGATGTAAGTCAAACCAGTCACTTATGGTGTGTTTTGGTGGTATTATTTTGTTGTTGTTGTTAACAAAGAGGAGCAGATATGTAACCAACCCACCAACACATAATCCAATGATCATTTCATTAGTCATAATCTCTAGTTACTCAAACATCAAACAAATTCTTACTACATCTTTTTTTAGACTGTATATATGTGTACTGATTTGATGATGAGAGGTAGACATAAAGTTCTTGAATATGAGGTTAATCTATAAAGTTGTTAATCCATGAAAATGATTAAGATTCTGTTCTGTGGCCAAAGAAAATCATACCTGGAGAGAAAAATAATAATATTCTATTAAATTGCTGTAATTCCTCCACCTGCATTACTCAGCGCTTCAGTGTGACAGTGGTACACAGTTCGTACTTGGTTTGCATGTAGAGGCCTCCAGAAAGCTGGGTAGACTGAGGCAGCAATAACTGTTGCTGTTCTTGGGGAAAGTCCTTCTTAAATGAAAATGTAATCAGAGTGAAAACTGGCAAAACAGATATGTGGCAAACACTGCTGCAATCAGGAAATCCTTGGGGAAAAGTGCTACAGAGGTGGACACTGAATGGGGAAAAGGAACCTTTCTGATCAGTCAGTATTTTCTGAATTTTCTTCTATGAGCGCCCAAGAGTCTGAATTATATAGTCTCTGACAATCAAATTAACTTCAATTTCTTTGTTTTAAGTTGGGGGAGAAGCAAAGAGAGGAAGCAGAGACAAGCAGAGTTTGCTTCTAGAAAGAAACAAAAAGGCACAAAAATGGAAATCAACATTTAATATTAAGGAAAAATCGTCACCATATAAATATACAACTGTTCTTCCTAGAATTCCTTCCTTTCTAGAATAAATACATTTCCTTAAACTATTATACAGGGATTAAAAAATAAAACAGTAGAACCCACTGACAGGCAAAATGAAATTGGCATCAGGGATTTTTTTTTTCTTTTTTAACTGATAGCATAACAGCTTGCAAATGGAATCTGTGGTCCTTCATAATGATTTATTTTTTATAATATGATGATAACCAGCTGGTAATGGTGATTCGTATGTTTGTAACAAGATCTCAACTGGCTATAATATAATGAATACACTTTACAATCCACTAAAATTTGGGAGCCAGAATACAGCAAAGAGTCTGTATGCATAGTCAGCATCCAGCACAAAACATCTTGATTCACCTTGATTCATCTTGAAGCACCACAAAAGGCTATTAGGGCTTCAGCCAGAACCACCACATTCCAATTAGTTCACCAAAATGACAAAAACAAAGGGAAAGAGGAGAGGAACCTGTTAAATGTTCTCTAGGTCTATTAGAAAGCATGGAGCTGTTCCTTTGGCCACATACATGTGAGTGCACAGGACAGTAATATTCTACACATCAAGGGAATGCCCCACCAATGTTGCCATGGCAAAACCAGGAGAGTCTACAATGTTACCCAGCATGCCTAACCTTGGCGTGCTGGGTAAACTAACAAGGTTAAGGGGAAGGTTCTTGCCAAGAGAGTTAATGTACATATTAAGCACAGCAAGCCCTCTAACAGAAGAGGCAGCTTCCTGTAACACATGAAGGAAATGATCCGAAAACTTGTGGTAGAGGTTATATGATTGCATAAAATTATTAACATTCAGCAAATTGTACACTCTAATTGTATCATCTTTGTCTCCCTCTCATGGATGTTTGTGAGGGCAAAGTTAAAATTGGAAACTGAAAATTGTGGGCTTTTATCCAGGAGCAATGAGTAGTTAGCAGCATACCAGTACTCTCATCCAGAAAAACTACAACATACTAGTATAAACAAAAACATGGAAATTATCTCTCTTTAGGCAACAGAAATCTTCTGCGGTAACAAGAACTAAAGGGGCCAAAACTCCTGTATTAGTTTTCTATTGCTGTTGTAACAAATAAGCACAATGTCATGGCTTAAAAAAACACACATATTTGTCCTGGCTGGGTGACTCAGTTGATTGGAGCATCCTCCCATTCACCAAAAGTTTGCAGGTTCGGTTCCCAGTCTGGGCAAATACTTAGGTTGCAGATTCAATTCCCGGTTGGGGCACGTGCAGGAGGCAACTGATCAATGTTTCTCTCTCACATCGATGTTTCTCTCTCTCTCTCCCTTGCTCTCTCTCACAAAATTAGTGAAAGCATATCCTCATTGTATCACCATGGATGATAACGTATTTACACTTCTGGAGATTAGGATTTGGACATCTTTGGGGAATCGTTATTCTGCATACCACAACTCCATGGAGGGAAGAACCCCCAAGAGCCACTTTTATCCTGGGATCATTTGCCAATTGTGAACTCTGCCAAGAGCCTGAGAATCTGGGCTTTGTTTGAACAAAGGGCATCTGCTAGGGGACACATAAATAAGAACACTAAGCAGAATTGGAACCCAAAGTAAATGGCTAGTTTTCCTCCTAGCACATTTGATGAATGTGGGCTCTGTGTGGGTCAGGATGCTAAAACCTAAGTGGAAAGTCTCTGAAAAGCAGAGTACTGCTTTTCATCACTTTTGTGAGGAAAGATTAACAGTTCAAACTGTTTTAGGACAAGGGCCTCACAGAATACACAGGCTCTCAGTTGACTTTCAGGCTGGAAGGTCAAGGGTAAAACAGGTTGACAAAGCTTTTTTCAGGTGTACAACCAGCTTCTGGACATACAATTCAGTCTTTGATTGAATTTAAACAAGTGGTTACCACTCTACTCAGCACAGAGGAAAGTATATCCTCTCTAGTGAAAGGTATTATCAGCTGGGAGTGCAATATTTTAAAAATACATAATATCTGAAATTCAATTAAAAAAAAAACAACTCCTAGATATTCCAAAAGGCAAGAACACCTGGTTAAAAAATCAAAAGACAGAATATACCCACAGGTAAACCAGATAGTGAAGTTTAGCTAACAAGGGCTTTTAAAAGTATGCTTAATAAGTTCAAGAAATAAATTAAAAATATGAAGGAAAAACACACCTATGGAGAATTTCAACAGAGAATTGGAATTTATAAAAGAGAATCAAATGGTTATTTTTAGAACTAAAAAAGTACAACACTTAAAATTAAGAACTTATAAGATCTGTTTAAAAGCAGACTAGAAAAGCAAAAAGATGAGACTGGTAAATTAGAGAGCATGTTGACAGAAAATTTTCAAACTGAAGTACAAAAATGTGAAAGAATGGGAAAAATACAGAAAAGAGCCTTAGAGTATGTGGAATGCAATAAGTAGCCTAAAATTTGTGTAATTCAAATTCCAGAAGGAAAGGAGAGTAGGAAAAAAGCAATTATGAAGAGATAATAACATAATTTTCTAAAACTAATGAAAATATCAATTCATAGAGATTGAAAGCTCTATGAATCCAAAGCATGATAAACACAAAGACAATCACACCAGCACATATCGTAAACTGCTAAAAATCAAAGAAGACTAGGTATTCACAAAAACAGCTGGGGAAGGAGGGGAATGCATTACCTTCAAAGGAGCAACAATAATACTGACAGTTGATTTCTCAGAAGGAACAATAGAAGCCGTAAGACAATGGAACAAAACTTTAAAATATCAAAATAAAATTTCTCCAAAATTAGAATTCTATGTCCAGGGAAAATAATTCCTTAAAAATGAAGGGAGGCCAAATTCATAAAAATTTATACACTAAATATATACAAATTTTTATATAATTTTTTTAAATAAAGCTTAAAAAATAAAAGAACACATTTTTCTCGCCATCAAAAACAGAAGATTCACCATAAGAATCATGAACTAAAAGAAAATACAAAAGGAGTTCTTCAGGCAGAGGGAAATACTCACACAGGGAAACATGGAGTATCAGGAAAAAAATGAAGAGCAATAGAGAGTTGCAATATGCAGGTAAATATAAATGATATTGACATGTATATATTAGTAATAATTTGAGGGGTTTAAAATGTGTGTAAAATTAAATACATGACAACAGTAACATAAAATATGGGAGGGTATTCATGGAATTTAAAGTGTTCAAAGGTTAGCATTCTTGGAGAAATAAAAAAAGTAATAATTTTCATGATTATAACAAGTTAATAATGCATATTGTGATTTCCAAGGTAACCACTAAAAGAATAATGCATTACAAGTGAACAAAGAAAAAAATGGAATAATTTTCCTTTCTTCCCATAAAGTCCCAAAGAAAATGATTTAAATACGCAATAGCAAATTAGTCAAGACTCTCAATTTATAAAACACTTTAGTTGCCACTTGTGTTAGTATAAAGAAATGCTATGACCATGTAATTTAATTATTTTTTGGCATCTGATTTAGTCATTTTTTAATAAAAGAGCAAATTCATAGATTTAGACAAAAAGCGAACAAATGTTGGTTTTTATTTGAACATTTAAAAGTTCAGTAGGCACTTTTACTCACTATTGCTAAAATCTAACAAGCTCCCATTGGAACTTATTTGAGGGTCAAAAGGTTGGAACTAGAATGTTCAATCATTCCAAAATTCTGAAAGAGTCATGCACTCCATCCATCACCATAGGTGCCTCCCAAATCACAACTCCTCCACAATCCTACTCCTGGGTACTTCTTTTAATGCTGGATTGATTAATCCCTTATTTTCCTTCCACTTTTTCACTTAATACCTCATGTATATACATCCACGAAGGGCTTAACTGCAATGGAAAGTTCAGGGTAGTTTTGTAGGAATTTGGGGGCTTACAGTCCATTAGCCTCCTAAGAGTCATGCCCTCGCATCCCAGGCAGAGCCTACAGAAGTCAGTGGCTAGAAGTGGCTGCCCTTCTGTCATTCTGTGAAATTCCTCAGTCAGAGCAGGAGTCAGGGACGAGTTCATTCCAGATAAATATATTAGAGAAGTTGTGACTTGCTTGGTGCCAGCAGCAAATGTAGCCCAGTTTAGTATTAAATAAAACAAGTCAGTCACAGGAATTTTGAAAATTGAGGGTGTAAGTGAAGGAGTGGCAAGGGAAAGGGACTCCTGGAGAGCGTCAGGGTGGCCCTGGTTTGAACTTCAGGGCCACACTGTTGATGCAAAACCTCTGGCCAGCAGGCCCAGGTCCATCAGGAAACACATGGCCGAGGTGAGCTTCACACTGCAAAGGAGAGAAGCCTGTCATTTCTCCACCGAGAAAGAGGTCTTTACGTAAAAGTAGTCAGATGAACCCCACGGGGCCACCCAGTGCTCAACATCTGTGCGGGGGAAAGTCCATTGAATCTGATTAAGAAATGAAAGTAGGCAGAGCACAGAAGTGGTAAATTGCTCTCAGTTTTATCAAAGAGAATATGAGCAAGTTATTGAACTTAGGCCTCGATTTACTCATCCATAAAATAGGAATAATTGTACCTATTTAAGAGAGCTGTTGACGATTAATTGATAAAATGCATATAAAGCATTAACACAATTCCTGGGTAAGTACTCAATAATGTGGTTGTGGCCAGAGTATTATTTTTTTTTATTAAGGATAAAACTATGTTCTACTTATCTGCTTGCCTCTGGAGTTTTACACCACCAGAACATTTGAGCACACAAGCATATCAAAAGGAACCTGCTGTCTGGATTGGAGCGCGCTCTCCTACCAAGCTCACAGAGGGAATAGTGCGCTGATGTCACCTGCCGTGTCACTCTGTCCATGACACACGGCCAAGTGGGGAAGAAGGTGGGGAGATGCCACGCACACTAGGCCTTTGCTGCCTGTCCTTGTTCTAAAGCAGTGGTTCTCAACCTGTGGGTCGACCCCAAAAGGGGTCGAACGACCCTTTCACAGGGGTCGCCTAAGACCATCGGAAAACTCATATATTACATATTGTTTTTGTGATTAATCACTATGCTTTAATTATGTTCGATTTGTAACAATGAAATTGGGGGTCACCACAACATGAGGAACTGTATTAAAGGGTCGTGGCATTAGGAAGGTTGAGAGCCACAGTTCTAAAGAATGTTAGGGCCAACTCTTTCTTTCTGATCCTGACTCTGCTCTCAGCTCTGAAAGGCTAGACCCAGGACAGGCTTCTTAGGGGGTGGGAGGAAGGCTCTTTCTCTTCTCTGCACCGCCCAGAATGAGGGGAGGGAGGGAGCGGAAGCTGCAGGAGTAGAAACCCCATGTGCTTCAGTGGCAACTAGGCTTGCCAAGGACAAGAGAGCTCTTTGTGGCACTTGGGACAGCATCAGGGAAAACCCGACAGACAACGCAAAGAAACTCACCTGCTTGCAGACAACCTCTGTGCGAGCTGCTCCCAGTGAGGTGTCCACACGTCTCAGGATTCCTGTGTTGCTTTCATCAGAGCCAGACGCACCGTGGGCCTCAGAAAACGAAGGCCACCCAGTGCCGGAGCAGTACTTTTTCTCAGAACTGAGGAAGACATTCCCAACGCTACCGTTACTAACACACAAAGAGCATTTTAGGCCCCGACTCATTTTTCTATTGAGCAGATCCGAGTCCCTCCCTCCTCTGCCAGATCCCATGGCGGGTGATGTGACAATTCCAAGGGATTTTGCCCACTGCGCCTTCACCATTAAAAACATTGTCCCTTCACAGTGTTTCTTTGGTGTTAACGGTTTCTCAATGTCCAACAAGGAGCTTTGTGGATTGTGCTGCATACTAAGAAACAGATTAAATCCATGTGTTATAAAGGTAAAAAAGGGGGAAATCGAAGTGAAATAGCAGTGGTTGAAGGAGGGCGCATTGAGCTCGGCCTGTCAGAGAAGCGTGAGGTCTGATGAAGCAGCCACTTTCAGCACCAGAAACTTTGGGTGATCTCAGCACAGAGGCCTGGCCACCTGCGAGGACCCACGCGCTGACCCTGCCACTGCTTAGCTGTGTGGAACTGGGCAGGCTGCTTCCCTTTCAGCCTTAGTGTCCTCATCTGCAAAAGGGGGTTAAGACCTACCTTATGGAGGTGTTTTGAGAATTCAAAGAGCTACTTTGTGGAGCATATGGAATGTGCTTATGAAAGAACGTTCACTATGACTATTCTTATTAATAAATAAGCCTGGTCGCTCTGAGTCAGTCACTGCAGTGAAGCTGATCCTGGGGGGAGTCCCACAAGGACCAGCGGTGCTGAAGGCTGGGGAGGCAAGAGGAGCAGGCAAGAGGAGGCAGCAAATAATCTGCCCACCTAAGACCTGCCTCCTCTCTAAGTGCTTTAAAATAGAAGCTCCCTTAAATAGTGCCAGGAAAGTAGATATTTAAATTTTAAATGGCAGTGAGATGGCTCTAAGGAAAAATGAGAAGAAATGAATCATAAATATTGCAAAAAAAAAAAAAAAGCTGAGCAAAGTGAAAAGAAATATCTGGCAAATCAAATCTCAAGACCAGGGGTGGGCAACCCCTGGCACGCGTGCCAAACATGGCACGCCAGTAACTTTTGCTGGCACGCGAAACCCTCTCTTATAATCTTCCATTTACATTTTTTTCTTAATATCGACTTTTTTATTTTTCAGATAAATTCAGTGTAGGTGCATTTTAGATAAATAAATAATTTTACATAACAAGTTAAGTTAAAGACCATAGACATGGATTGACGAGAGAGGGGAAGAGCAATTTCAATAGTGTTGAAAACGAACTATTGAGGACTTGGAATGCCATTCCAGAAATTTTTTTCTGTTTAAAAAACTTTGCAACAGCGTTACTCTCCATGTTTTCATCCACATACGCTTGTGAATCTTTGTTCTCCGTGATGAATTTTGTTAAGTCTCGTAATAGGAGTAGCCTGACGGATGAAAGTAGTAGCTCGTGCATATCTCTGAAGGTCACGAAATATAAACCTGATGTAAAATCTCTGTCATCAGTGATGCAGCAGCAAAAGTCCCACTGATAATATCAAACGGAGTCATAAAGTCTTCTGCCGGACTATCAGTGTACATGTATACATTAAAAAATAAATGTATTTTTCATCATCATATACTGTGTTTTTGTCGCTCGAATGAATTTTATTATTTCTTCAAGGTTCTTCACATACGTACACCTTAAGAGATATCAAGTAGGCGTAACATGTTTTCAAAAAATTAGGGTTGGCACGCAGAAGAATTTTGAGTCAGAGATTTTGCTGGTTTTGGCATGTACTCACAAAAGGTTGCCGACCCCTGCTCTATTCTATGAACAGGGAAGGAAGTTCAGTTTAGAGCAGTGGTTCTCAACCTTCTGGCCCTTTAAATACAGTTCCTCATGTTGTGACCCAACCATAAAATTATTTTTGTTGCTACTTCATAACTGTAATGTTGCTACTGTTATGAATCGTAATGTAAATATCTCATATGCAGGATGGTCTTAGGCAACCCCTGTGAAAGGGTCATTCAACCACCAAAGGGGTCACGACCCACAGGTTGAGAACCGCTGATTTAGAGCATGATTCCCAGCAGAAACATCCTACCTAATAAAGAGGGAGTATGCTAATTGACTTCCATGCCATCACAAAGATGGTGGCGCCTACAGCCAATAAGGAGGGAATATGCTAATTTACTTCCATGCCATCACAAAGATGGTGGCGCCCACAGCCAATAAGGAGGGAATATGCTAATTGACTTCCATGCCATCACAAAGATGGTGGCACCCACAGCCAATAAGGAGGGAATATGCTAATTGACTGCCCTGCCCTCAAAGATGGCAGCTTCCATAGCAACAAGATGGCCGGCAGGGGAAGGCAGTTGGGGATGACAGGACCAGCAGGGGAGGGCAGTTGGGGGCGATTGGGCTGGCAGGGGAGCAGTTAGGCATCAATCAGGCTGTCAGGGGAGTGGTTAGGGAGTGATCAGGCAGGCAGGCAGGTGAGCGGTTGGGAGCCAGCAGTCCCGGATTGCTGGCAGTCGGACATTCCCTGAGGGGTCCTAGATTGGAGAGGGTGCAGGCTGGGCTGAGGGACAACCCCCCGTAGTGCACAAATTTTGTGCACTGGGCCTCTAGTCTAACATAATGCAGTGATTTTCCAACATTCTGGTCTCAGGAACCTTTAATACTAAAAAATTATTGAGGATTGCTGAGAGCTTTTGTTTACATGAGTTATATGTATCAATATTTGACAAATTATAAAAACAGAATTTTAAAAATATGCATGCATTATTTTAAAAAACAATAAATTCATTACATAATATAAATAACATTTTTATGATGGTTATATTTTCCATAATGAAACAAACATTTAGTGAGAAGAGTTGCATTGCTTTACAATTCTGCAAACCTTTTTTAAAAAAATATATTTTATTGATTTTTTACAAAGAGGAAGGGAGAGGGATAGAGAGTTAGAAACATCGATGAAAGAGAAACATCGATCAGCTGCCTCCTGCACACCCCCTACTGGGGATGTGCCCACAACCAAGGTACATGCCCTTGACTGGAATCGAACATGGGACCCTTCAGTCTGCAGGCCGACCCTTTATCCACTGAGCCAAACCAGTTAGGGCTGCAAATCTCTTTAATGTCCAGCTTACCTAAAGGCAACTGAACCTTTATATGGGCTTCTGCATTCAACCTGCTGCAGTGTTGTTCTGAGTGAAGTATAGGAAGAAGGTGTGGCCTTGCAAATATGTAGTTAGAAAAGAGAGGACTTGAGAGGTCCCATAAAAGGGTCCCAGGAATTCCTGGGGCTCTCAGACAGGCTTTGAGAACCACAGGTATGACTTTGAAGAGTTAAGGGCTTTGTTTTCTGAAAGACTTGGGTGCAAATCCAGACTCTGCCTGTTACATCTATGTGATCTTGGCAAGTTATTTAATTTTTTAAAGCCTTAGCATCCTAATCAATAGATTAGTGATGGCATCATTACCTCCCAGGGTTACTGAGAGGACTAGCTGAGATATTTTCTGTATAGCATAGTGTCAGACATATGTACATAAGTCAGTAGCTAGTATTTTTTTTAATATCATCATTATTATCCATGACATTTGAACCGGTGGGGGTTCAATTGGAAGTGTCTGCATATTCAGGTTGGGTTCTTTACAATCCTTTCGTAAGGGTTCAAAAATATTCATCCATGCCACTCTGGCCCAGGGAAAAACATCTCAAGTATCTTTTAAACATATCCTTTCAACTCTCAACATTATATATAAACTAGTGATTATTAAAGGAATTTCAGTGGAGAATTATGAATACAATAAATTTTTTTAGTGAATGAATCTAAAACTAATAAAAAGTCATTTAAAATATTTTATGGGAAACAATAAACCTTTATTGATGCAATTAACAGAATCTGGAGATTTTGCCAAGTAATAAGAGAGGGCCATCATATATAATTTAAGAGTAAGAACCTAAATATTAAGGCCAATTAGAATTCTAATATACATATTGAAATAATTAGCAGATTATAAGGCCCACCCTTGAAAAACTAAAACCACTCTGGACCATTTCTTCTCATATACTCTTTCATTTATTATTCATTTCTGAAAATTCTATAGCCTCCAAGCCAATAGCACAGGCATCTGGTGATAACTGACAACCCTAGTAGTATCTTAGAAAAATTTCAGTTAACTTGAAGAATTAAAATTTTTGAAAAGGAGTTTTTAAACAATGTTAGTTACTGGTAACATGTAAGACATCAGACGTTACATAAAAAGGGAACTGGCCAGTGTGCTCGATGGTTAGAGCGCCAGTCTGTGAACTGAAGGGGCCATAGACTCACTTCCCAGTCAAGGGCACATACCTGGGTTGCGGGTTTGCTTCCTACTCCGGTCAGGGTGTGGTGCATGCAGGAGGCAACCAATCGATGTGTCTCTCTCACACTGATGCTTCTCTCCCTCCCTCCCTTCTCCCTTCTACTCTCTCTGAAAAGCAATGGAAAAAATATCCTCACGTGAGGATTTTAAAAAAGGGAACTAGTATCAGGCTCTGTTTTCGTCTAAGATTTATGACCATGAAATATGACCACAGTAGATTTCAGTAAACACTTCCAAAATTGGTGTCTGGAGGGACGGAGAAGGAAGGTGAACGGAGGGAGCAGGGAGGGGGCAAAGTCACCACGTGGCAGTGTGGAGTCCCCAGGGGAGTGGTAACATCCTGGGAGTGTTCCTGACCCTGGGAAACCCTGATGTAAAGGTCTCTGCTTTGGAGAATCAGCAGAACCTGCACCATATTGGTTCCATGTGAAGTCAAGTCTGCAGGCAGCAACGAACCCATCCACCTAGAGGCAGGGGTCCCACATCCACTCGACTCTTTACTATTTAGCTGTGGTTGACCGTCTTTTCACCTTCTTTTGACTCTGTACAAGCATTTGAAGGAATGTGTATTTTTCTCTACTTCTACTCCCTATTATTAGGGCTGGTAACTGGGGACAGAGAGAGGGGGAAATGAGAGGCAAAACAAGAATAATTCCCAAGACTAGCTTCTTAAATGGGAAGCATGTTCAAGAATATAGTCTTCAAAAAAAGATAGTCTTCATTTATAGATTCTCACTAATCAGAATACATTCTCAAGAATGCCTCATTATCAGATACACTCATGTAGACAGCCCAAAAAGGATCTCTCTCTTTCACTGCCAACGCTGCTGCTAGTATTGAGTGCTGGGCATGTGTGAGGCGTTGCTCTGACGCTCTTGCATGTCTTAACTCATAACTCAGTTAATCCTCCCAACAACCTTATACATTCAGTACTGCTACCACACCCATTTTACAGGTGAGCAAGTTGAGGCACAGAGAGGTTAAGAAGCTTGCCCACGATCATAGGGTAATGGAGCCAGGATGTACACCTTGGCAGCCTTATCCACTCTGCTACACTATAAACACATGTATCTTTAAAAAGAGTATATTCTGGAACCTAAATGACTCTTATGAATCTATTCTTATTTCTCTTAGTCTTGGCTGCAGCAGGAAAATGGAACAGAAACAAACTCAAAAGTCCTTAAAAAAAGAAAAACTTTTCAATTAAAATTAAGTGATTGAAAAGAAACAAATATAGTTGGTGAACTGGCAGTTCAGTAAACTAGCCATCTGGTAAACACGCTTTTGGAGAATTGGCTGGCTTGTTAGTCCTGGCTGCTTCACTACCTTAGTGACCTGGGGCTGGTCATTCAACTTCCTTAACTTAGACTACCACTGTGATAATACAGTAGCCTGGCCACATGTGGCCTTATTAGTTAATTAAAATAAAATAAAATATTCTGGTTTTCAGTGGCATTAGCCACATTCAAGTGCTCAATAGCTATATGGGATTAGTGGCTACCATATTGGATGGAACAGATATAGAACATTTGCATCAGAAAGTTCTACTGGACAGAGCGTTCTGCTCTTGTCTCTTGGATCCTCCCTGATCCAACATTCTGTGAGTCCAATGCCTGAACTATGTGGTGAGTGGATGGCAGGCACTGTGTAGAAAGAAGGTCTCAACTTTACTACTGCACAAACTAGATCACCAATGAAAAAGAAGGGGGGGAGGAGGGAGAGGAGGGGGAGGACAATGTTCTTACAAGGATGGCTTCTAATCTTTTGTCTTCACCCTGGCCAGTTTGGCTCAGTGGCTAGAGTGACAGCCTATGGACTGAAGGATCTTGGGTTGATTCCAGTCCAGGGCACAGACCTCGGTTGCAGGTTCCATTCCTGGCCCTCGGGGCATGTGTGGGAAGCAATGTAGCTCTATCACATTGTTTTTTTTTCCTGTCTTTCCCCCTCCCTTCTACTCTAAAAATCAGCAGAAAAAATATCAAGTGAGGATTAACAACAAAATAACAATAATAATAATAATAATAACCTTTTGTCTTCACAGTCCAAAGAGAGAAACAGAACATCTGTCTTTTCCATACAGTAACAAAGCAGTCCTTGATACTTTTACAACATGGTTCTTTGGCTTAAAGCAGGTTGGCCCTCTCAAGGTCCTACTTCTCCTCTTTAATGGGACTAAAGGTCATGGCATAATTAATGTCTCAGAATACGTACATTTTACTGTGTCAAAATTAACCTTTGTCCCAGGCCACCCCAGGCTGACTGCCATCTTAGACATCTCCTCACCGGCTACTGACAGAAGGAATGAAACCGGGCAAAGGCCTGCCTTCCATGAGCATGAAGGAAAATCAATCTTAATTGTTCCTCATTCTTGAAGGCGGGTCTGGCTTTCCCAATTCAGCTCACATTAGCAGGAAAACCCAGTCTGCTCAAAGCCAAAGGACAGAATGAAGCACTGCCTAATGGAAGACTCACAGAACTGGCTTGATTTATATTTTATTCTAAACCAATTTAGGGTTGATGCAAAAAGAAAACAACATCTTTGAAGTTCTGAAAAACAAGACTTCAAAGATGTTTTCCTTTCTTCTCCATTGAGTCTTCTTTTTTTAGACTGTTTCCTGCATGTCTAAACAAAAAAGTCTTTGTTGAGAGATTTCAGATCCTGATTGACTTAAAAGAGGCTTTGAAATCAAGGGACAATTAAATTTACTTCAGCTACATAGAGGAGGGATGGTATTCACTACTGTCAAGCATTGTGGGGAATCTGTCCTCATAAAATTCTACATTTCCTAAATTGAATTATAAACCCATTTTTCCCTGGGAGAGATACAGTTTTAATCACATGGCCAAGCAAATGCTATTATGGTTTAGATTTCTTTAAATACTTTCCCAGGAAAGCTACTAATAGCTTTCTCTGAAGGTGCCCACCAAGACTTATTTATCTTGCTATTTCTCGAGGATACAGAAAGCAAGAATATAGGCTAAGAAGTCTTGTTTACTGCTCTAAATGCTAGAAATAATTAAGACAAGCAAGTATCTTATACAAATAGCTCTCCTTATAGCAACCATGCCAGATGAGAAGGACAATTAAAAACAACACGAGTGCATTTTTATCCAAGGCCTCAAATGAGGGAGAGCTTAGAAGTCTGTTATCCTTCAGAATCGCTTGGTCTTTGATCTCACCTGAAGAGCGGGCTGTCACAGCACACACAGTGATACATTCCTGGTGCCTTGTTATTCAGGTAGATCCCACTGAAAGGCTGAAAGTCAATCCGATACATCATGTTAGGTTCCTCATAACACCAACAGGAGATAATACAATAGATTTAAATCCAAGATGAAGTCCCCAAATAAAGGACTTTTGGTACTAATTTGACAAAGTGCAAATATCACCAGAGAGAAGATTACCATACACCCAATGAAGCAGCCTGTGGGCTTCTTTACAACCCAGACTTTAATTGTGCCAAATATTCAAATTATGCCATTCATCATGCCCTGTATTTACATAGCACCTTTCCTCTGGGAACATCAAAGTCCATGAAAAGGGGAGAGAACAGTCCTCTGGATTGTGTAGGATTTCAGTCTCCATTTGAAAAGAGTCAATACAACAGGAATCTAGCTTTCTGTCGAAAACGCTTTGAAATCTCCAATTAAAGACAGAATATAATTACATAAAAAGTATCGCTCAGTGAGATCAGGATCATGCCTTTAATATGCTTCACATAGTGTTCAGGACACTGCATACTTAATAAATGTTAAATAACGAGTTAAGTTCTTCCCGTGCCTAAGTGACGACTTAGATGGAATTACTATGCTCACTGCGGCTTCAGAATTTGCAGGTTTTCAAAGATTAAGAGGAACACAGAGACTTGAAGCAATGAGTGAGCTGAGTCAATGTTTTATTAAATGTTATTTTACAAACCGAATCTCATTGGTTTAAAAAAAAGAGACAATTTTTGTCCAATTCTTTTTGTCAAAGAAAATTAAAGAAAAAGTAACCCTTTCACTAGCCAACTATGAACCACTGTCTCATTTTATGGGATGGAAGAGAAGCGGAAGTACAGAATGGCTCACTGAGCCACCGAACTGACTCAGGAAATATGTTGGACTCTTCTGGACACTCTCGATTTCTCAACTCAACAAGTTCACAGGTTAAACATTCAAATTCCCTGGAGTGGTATTAACAGCACATTTCCAGGGAGCTAAATAATGGACGGTTTCAAATTAACCTACTGAGCCTACCATCTGGCCACACTTGGATGTTTTCCCTCTTTAAAGACCCTAAACGTAGCTGAAGAAATCTGAACAGTAGTGAGCTGGTGGCTCTATGGCCCATCCCCCTGGACACTGGCTCCCAACATCGGTATGAATGAGCATCTATCACGAGGAGGAGGTTTCACATACCTCCCACAGGGGCTGATGGGAAACACGAGCCCAAGGGCTCCCAATCCTAAAGCTGATCCAGAAAAAACCTACTCATAGGATCCAGACAACCTGATAACATTAAAAATATAATTTTGTCTGCATCATTACAGGGGCCAGCTGGACAGAGAAAGTAACAAAGAACTGGTATTATAGTTAAAAAAAAAAATGAAATAAAAAGGGAGCTCCAGCTGACATATTAGATGAAATGACATCTCTGAGCTGCCCCCTTGCCTGATTTCCTGATGTCTCCCTCTCCCTTCCCCAATTTCATATGAACCATAGCTCTTATTTAGGGCTAAACTCAGTTTCCATCTCAATTGTTCATACTCATGTTCATACTTGGAAACCTAATATGTGCCCAGTGGAGACTTAAACGGGGTGTCCAACCACATGAAGAAGGGGTTGGAGCAGGGGAAGAACACACCAGAGGCAAAGAATAATCAAACAGCCACTAATACAGGCCTGTATTTAGCTGTGGCAGGAGCAGTGGCAATGAAAAGAAGAGGATAAATTCAAGAATTATTTCGAAGAGAGAACTGAATGACTGTATGGGGAAGAGAGGAGAGTCAGAGATGGCATGACTCTCAAGATACCCCTGGGGTTTTCAAGGTCTGTGCTATGGACGGAATGTTTGTAGAAGCCTAATCCCCAATGTGATGGTATTTGGGGGTGGGACCTTTGGAAGGTGACTAGGTCATGAGGGTGGAGCCCTCATGAATGGGATGGTGCCGTTGTAAGAAGAGACACGAGAGAGAAACTGTTCTCTTTCTCCATCATGTGAGGACACAGCAAGAAGGCGGCCATCTGTAAACCAGGAGGAAAGCTTTCTCCAGTCATTGACTTGCCGGCTCCTCGATCTTGGACTTTCTAGCCTCCGGAACAGTGAGAAATAAATGTTTGTTGTCTACGCCCTCCAGTCCATAGTATTCGCTACAGCAGCTCAAACTGACTAAGACAGACTATCTGGACCAATGGGAGTTCTCCCTTCTTTGATCCTGTCAATACAACATACCTGTTGGAAAAAGATAACACCCTGAAAAGGGATGATTTGCAGATAATTTAATACAGAACTATTCACTAACTATTTCCACAAGGCGAATGGAAATCAACAAGGGAGGGTAAGCACCCCTGGGCCAATGACCATAAGAACACACTGCCCCACCTACGCCTGTTGGACAAAGGAGGGGGCAGTTAGCAGAACCTGTGACACAGCAGCTGTAGGCGAGGGCTGCCTGTGAAGCTGCAATCTGGACAGAGAAAGTGGCAGGTAATACACCTTTTAAAAAATTGAAATAAAAAGGAAGCCCCAACTAACATAGTAGATGAAATGACATCTCTGAGCTACCTCCCTGCCTGATTTCCTAATGTCTCCCTCTCCCTTCCTCAATTTCATACAGCCCTAGCTCTTTCTTAGGGCTACACTCAGCTTCCATCTCAATTGTTCACACTAGAGGAACACAGTTCTAGGGAAGACTGTGGTTCCCGACCTCTCTATTCTGCCATCTGATCTCCTGGCTTCTCCCATTGGTCAAACTCAATCAGTAGCCAGAGGGCAAGGGAGATGGTTACTCTTCTCAGGGCTCAGAGCAGGTAAAGCAAGTGGAGAGCAGATCTGGGGGGCAGACAGAGGCCTGCATAAAGCCTACCTTCTATTGATATCTGACTTTTAGTTATTGCTCAACCACGCTGTAAACTCCTTCACCATACCTAGCAGAGTGCTGGCACATTACTGCTGCCCAATAAAAACACATGGAACTCATTGTTAATTTTGAGTCACCAAATAGAAAGCTTAGATGTTTTACTTCTCTTTCCTTAGGCCCATGAAGCCAACAAAAGCTTAAATTCTAAAAAGTTAAATGTGACAATGGATCAAGTGAAAAGGATTTATAACATTAGTTAAAAATAATGGATGAGGCTCATTTTGTAAAATGGCCAAATGCACAGCATATAATGTACCATCTGTCTGAGAATCTCACAGATTTATTCTCCTAAACATCTGGCAGCTCATCTCCAGGCTCTGTATACTTACCAAACTCTGCCTGAGAGCAGGGCTGGCTTAGACTATTCTGGGAATATACACTACTATACAGAGCACCACATATGGCTCCCTTAAGCCTTCTGCAATAATGGTGAATAGAGTCTCTTTCCCAGTAAAGGATTTATTAAAATGCCGCCCACAGGAAGTTTTCAAAAATGCCAGTCTTTCATGAAAATCTATTGGGATCTGCTGGCCTGTCTTATGACTGCAGCATAGGAGGAGTTGAGGGTGAGACCATGATTATCAGGCCACATGCAATTAGACTGCAGCCGTGGGCAAACTACGGCCTGCGGGCCGGATACGGCCCGTTTGAAATGAATAAAACTATTGAAAAAAAGGACCGTACCCTTTTATGTAATGATGTTTACTTTGAATTTATATTAGTTCACACAAACACTACATCCATGCTTTTGTTCCGGCCCTCCAGTCCAGTTTAAGAACCCATTGTGGCCCTCGAGTCAAAAAGTTTGCCCACCCCTGAATTAGAGAGCTACTTGAACTTTTGCAGGGACTGCTAAGGTAAAGATATAAATACTCTACAACTTTGCACAACCACTGTGCTGTGGTCCTCTATGGGGTCTGCTTCACAAATGAAAGCATCTAATCACAAGTTCAATAATTATATTCCAGTGCCCATATTTGGGTCTAAGACAGACCACTTGTTAAGAAATGCAGGGCTGTAAAAATGATACTGTCATGAGGAACCACTGAGGACTGTTCTCTCAGGAAATGAATAAAGGTGCGATTGTTGAATACAGTGTAAATAATGTTCCCACCTCTTAGTCTTCAGTCATTTAACATTCAGAAAATTTATTTTTTATTGCCAGACACCATGTTATGTGATAGGAATACATCAAAGATGGACAATGCTATGAAGGAAAAGAGCTGTTAAAAGCAAACCCAGGTTGGGGCTGAGAAAAGGTTTCTCTAAGGAAATGAAATATGGGTTGAGAGCTGAAATATAGGTCTGAATGAATTGGGGGTGGGGGGCAGGTGATGAGAAAGGAGAACACGGGTACAAGGGCCATAGGGGAGAAGTAAGCCCAGGGCATTTGAGAGGTGAAAGGACAGTGTGGTTCAAGTGCAGAGACTGAGAGGTAAAAAGGCAGGATTTGAGGATGGGGATGGGAGGTAGGCAGATCCCTTAGGTCCTTGTTATCTATTTAAACACTTTTCTCTTTGCCTTCAAAGCAGTGGGAGCCACGGAAGGATTCTGAGCAGGGGAGCGATGTGGTCAGATTTGCGTTTTGAAAAGATCTTTGGCGGCTGTGGGGGGAATGGCTAGATGAGGAGCAAGAAAGGCTGTGAGTAGAACAGGTGGAGGCTACTACAGTCCGAGCAGCGAGAGAGGGTGGGAATCTGGGCCAGCATGGCAGCAAGAGCAGTGGCCAGCAGGAGAGTGAGTGGGGGGTAATTTGGGAGGCAGGAGAGATGGAGGGTGGAGAGTGACATGGCCCAGGGAAGGTGTCTGGTTTCTACAACTGGTGGACAGCAAAGGCCTGAGAACACCGAAGGGCCCGGATCTGTCGAGTAGATGATGATGAGTTAGGTTTTGTGATCAGGTCACCCCAATCCTGATCTCCAGGCCTGCAAGCAGAAAGCTGTCCGTCCGTTTAGCTTACCGGTTCAGTGCCTTTTTCTCTGGTGACGTAGAACTGCTCAGGAGTTAGCTTCTTTCGCCACTCACTCTTGGTGAGAGGTGGTGCATGCTTTGCAAGAGACCCTGTATTGTTAAATAAGATTTATTTTTTATTAAAACAAAAGGGCATAATCACCTTTTCTTCCTCGGCCTGTCTCCCAAAGGGCGCTATCACCCAGCAGAACAAGTCCGCCCCTTCCCCGCTCCCACTCCTTCATTCGCCAGGGACCAGAAAGCTCTGGTACAAAATGCTTTAATTGAGTCATTAGTTTAATAAGAAGTGAGTAATAAGTAGAGAGCCAGTTTCCTAGTCCCCCAGAGCACAGAAGTGAAAGAGGCAGCTGAAATATGAAATAATGCCAAATAGATTCTCCTCAGGTACCTAGGGGTAGAAATTGATCCTTCTTCCATTACTTATGTTCAAAGGAGAAGTTTCTGTCAGGATACATCTGGGAGTAGTTGAGTGATTGGAGAGAAAAGAACGTCGAGCTAGTGGATTATTAAACGCCTTTCCCTTGCGGGTTTATAAAGATATCTCTGACTTTGTTTGGCAAGGGAGGTCTTTATTAAAAAACCTTTTTGTGAGGAAAAAAAGACTGCTATAGCATATACTCCTGAAAGGGAAACTGAGACCCACCATAATCTATTCTGATGCTTCATGGTTTTTGTTCACATTTTGTTCTTTCTACTCTCTCTGGCTTCTATCTTACTACTTCTATCCCTATGGAAATACAGCTCATTAACACGTAATTTTTCAGGAACCCAGCTCTTGGGAAGCAAAGCAAAATGTATTTATGTGGCAATAATTACTGGTCAGTGGCTTTTAGAGTTATCAGGCAGGACGCCAAGTAATAAATGCAGAAGGAATGATAAAAACGTTTAAGTCACCATTTTTACAATCACTAAAATAATCACTGATTCAAGTAAGAATCATCAGGGGATTCCAAACTCCCTAGGTAAAAGACTGTTGAAGAATGGAATAGTCAAAGATTTTCAAAATATGATGTCAAATATTAATTACTAGGAAGAAAATATTCCTTGACAATGGAAAAATAAAGAAGTCACCACCTTAACCAAGTAAGCAAAGTTAGCATCAGCAACAGTAGGGCAAGCTGACATAATATGCCTTGTGTGTGATGTACTAGGGACACATCACCGCCCCCCCCCCCCCACAACTCCCTCTCCCCGCTACTGAACTGAATCTGTTCTCAGACGGCTCACTGAGGACTTTTAAGTAAAAGAAGTGTCCCCAGGAACACTTCATCCCTATCTCCTTTACTTCTCGATAATACTGACACTTGATATTCTCTCTTTTGGGGTATATTCTATTCCTTTGGCTTCCATGACACCAAATTCTCTTGAGCATCCGATTACTCCCTTTCAGTATCTTTACTCAACTCCCCTTCCTCTAGCCATCCCTGGTACCTTGGTGTGCTTCAGAGGAATCTATCCGTCCTAGGCTTTCTTCTATCATCCCTCCACACCTGCCTCCTGGGTGGTTTCATCCATCTGGTAGCTTCAAGACCCACCTACATCATGAGACTCCCAAATATATTTTCCTCCCCATCCTCAATCTCTCTGCTGAGCTCCAGATCCATATACAGGGGAGGTCAAAAGTAGGCTTACAGTTGTAGGTGACATTTTTTTGTTAATAAAGCTATTATAATAATCATAATCTGCATGTCTTTTTCCATTTGAACTGTAAACCTACTTTTGCCAACCCTGTATAATCGACACTTGGATATCTCTACTAGGATGTCCCATCTCAAACAACATGCACAAAAGGCCTTTATGTATCTCCCCCACCCCAACCCAAATCTGCTCCCCTTCTCACATGTTCTAGTTCATCCACCCCATGATTTAAATCAGAAAGCCAGGCCATGATCCATGATTCTTCCCTTTTGTTTGCACCAAGCCCTGTTGGTCCTACTTCCTAAGTAACTCTAGATCTGTTCATTCTCACTTTCCTGCTGCCACCTTGCATCAGGCCACCATTCTCTCCAGCACAGATTATTACAAAAGTCTCATTCGTATGCCCTTGCCTATCCTAACCACTTCCTTTTTCTCACTGCCCCAATCTGTTCAATGCAACATAATATACTCAAGTTAAATTCCAAACCCATTCATGTGACTTCAAGGCCCTGTGTGATTTGGCCCTAGTTACCACCTTCAACTCCTCCCTTCCACTATGCTCCAGTTCTTCTCAACTGCAGTCCTCTGAGTCCCCAGAACTTGTCATGGTTTGCCCAGCTTTTCACTTGTTGTTAAGATGGAGTGAAAACTTCCCAGATCCTTACATTCTGGTCCAGAAACTGGAGACCTTCAATCTCTGGTCTCAGTTTATATGTTAATTCTCCAGGAGACCCTCCCTGAACACCGCCACTCCTTCCCCAAGTCTAGGCTGCAAGATCCTCCTCCGTGTTCTTCCTTTATGGACTATTTAATCACCATGATGGGAAGCTAATTTGTCTGGGTGTCTATAAAGTCTACCGAGTCTATAAAGCAGTAAGATAGAAGCCAGACTAGAAGCTGAACATCTGAAAGAATTGTCTTTGTTCAATGTGTCCCTAGTATATACTGTAGTGCTTTGGCATTTAATATTCATTTCTTCATTCATTCAGTCAACAATTATTTATAGAACACCTACTGTATGCCAGATACTATTCTAAATGTTAGGGATTTAGGGGTAAAGAAAACAGATAAGAATCACTGCCATTAGGGAGTAGAGGTAAAATTAACTAAATAAGTAAGGGACATAGACCTTTAGGTGATTTTTCAAAAATCACAAAGGCAAGCAAAGAGTGAGGATGTGTGTATACGTTTATTTATGTGTGTATATATATGTGCACATGTACACACACACACACACACACACACACACACACACACAATTTCCAATAGAGTAGTCAGAGAAGGCCTAATTAAGAAGATGACTTAAAGGAAATGAACAAACATGCCTTGGGAATATGTACAAGAAGAACACTGTAGGCAAGAGGAAAAACAGGTGGGGTGGGCCTGGCATGCCGGATGAACAGCAAGGAGACCAGAGGCACTGGAGTGGAGTGAGCAAGGGAAGGTTAGTGGAAATGAGAACAGAAAGGCAATAAAGCCAGATCAGTTAGGGCCTTGAAGGCTACTGTAAAGACATTGGCTTTTATTGTGAGTAAGTTTGGAAGTCACTGGAAGGTTAGCAGAGGCATAACATGACCTAACATTTAAAAAGGATTAGTGGCTGGCATATATTAAAAAAAAAAATGAAGCAGGGCAAAGGCTGAAGCTGGGAAATCAGTATGAAGGTAACGAATGATCTGGCTGAGAGATGGAAGAGACTGGGATCAGGGTGGGAGCAGTAGTGCTTGGAGTGGTCAGACACTAGAAGCATTCTGGGCAGAGCAGGAAGATGTGCTGATGGGTCAGACAGGGAGTATGAGAAGAAGAAAAGCGTCACAGGTCACTACTCCAAGGCTTTGGTCGTGCACTGGACAACGGGGAAGACTACAGAAGAAGCAGGTGTGGAAGCTTGGTGTTAGATGTAAGTTTAACAATGTCAATTAGATATTCAAATGGAGAGGTCAGGTAGGCAGCTGGATATATATGGATTTAGAGCTCAGGGAGAGGCTCAAGGTAGAGATGTACATTTGGAACTCCTCAGCATTAAGATGTATTTAAAGCCCCAAGTCAATGAGTATAGAAGAATAGAGAGGCCCAAGGGCTTAAAACTCTGAGGCACTCCAAACATGCAGGCTGAGGATATGGGGAGGAATGGACAGAGATGGAACGGAATTGAGAGATATGTGGTGTCCTGGGCACTAAGTATTTTAAGAAAAATGGCATAATCTACTGTTTTGAAAGATCAAGAAAGAGATGAATGATAATTGACCACTGAGTTTAGCAATGTGGAGATCACTGGTGATGTGAAAAAGAGGAGTGTAGGTGAATCTGATTGGAATAGATTGAATAAAAGAAAAGAAAGAGGGAAAGGAAGATTGTGTCTGGGGGAAGCTGGAAGGGAAAGTCAGGTCAAAAGTATACTTTAATATGAGAAAATTACAGTATTCTAGTATGTTGATGGGACTAATTCCGTCAAGATGATAAATTGATGATTTAGGAAAGAAAGGGGATAATTGTGGAGTTATTTTTTAAGTACACCAAATATGGAAAACAATTAAATTGAGAAAAATTTACTAACTACATAAGCTTTAGATAACTATTCAAGATAATAATATGGGAGTTTTATAAAGCACTGCAAGCTTAACTACCAACAGAATGGTTGAAACATTTTAAAATCATTGTAGGCTGGGTTATCAGGTAGAGTTGTTTTGTTACTATTTTAAGAGCAAATAGGATGAGAACTAGTTTTAATGGATGTGAATTATTTGCTTACGCATAGGGAAAATAAAAGGCATTCCATTTTAGACTACTTAAGAGACTGGTAGATGTATGGGTATAACTACATTTTATAAGCCTTCATCCAAGGGCAAAATGCTAAGAGATGACCAATGTGCCAATATGTCAGAGTGATCTAAGCTGGGACGTATCACACAAAGGCCACCCCAAAAGGTGAAAAATTGTAAAGAGTTAAAACAGGCTTTGCTAGTGAGAATGGACTGTCTTGATTTCTGCTTCCAGAGCAGTGGTTCTCAACCTTCCTAATGCCACGACCCTTTAATACAGTTCCTCATGTTGTGGTGACCCCCTACCATAAAATTATTTTTGTTGCTACTTCATAACTGTAATTTTGCTACTGTTATGAATCGTAATATAAATATCTGATATGCAGGATGTATTTTCATTGTTACAAATTGAACATAATTAAAGCATAGTGATTAATCACAAAAACAATATGTAGTTATATATGTGTTTTCCGATGGTCTTAGGCAACCCCTGTGAAAGGGTCATTTGACCCCAAAGGGGTCTCGACCCACAGGTTGAGAACCACTGTTCTAGAGCATAAACTCTGGTCTAGAAAGGAATTTATGAAATCTGAACCATGGCTATCACTGACATCCACCAAGAAAAGGGGCAACAGAGCACCTTGATGAAAGCTCTCCTTTCCCTTCAAATACCTGTCCTGCCATGCCACTCCACATGTATTCTTGGCTCTGGCAAAGATCTTGCATTATTTCTATGGATAGCTAAGTAGAGGATCAACTTTTGGTATTAAGGTTGGGGGATTTATAGTCTGTAAAGCTGCCATTATCTTCCTATGTCTTTTTGGGGAGGGAGTGGAATGGGATTGGAGGAAAACCCAGAGGTGACACGCGAACTCAATGTTTTGGCTGATTTTTCTTTGTTAAATGGCATTTAAATATATAAAATAAATATCAAAAATATAAATCTTTGTTTTACTATGGCTGCAAATATCAAAAAATTTCTATATGTGACACGGCACCAGAGTTAAGTTAGGGTTTTTCAAAATGCTGACACGCCGAGCTCAAAAGGTTCGCCATCACTGCCTTAGTGTCTTTCAGCCTGCAGTTAAATTTAACAGTTAACATTGGAAAGTGGGAATTCATGAAGGGCCAGGTTCAGTGGGATTCCCATGCTTCAGCTTTGAACCTAAGGCATGAATCCTGTTTGAGCTCCCAGCTCCCTCTCCCCTAGCTCCATATTTTACTTCACCTGTTACAGAGTGCCTACCTGCTTTCAGACACTCACCTTCTTCCTCTGCCCTAATTGTTTTTAGTTTACAATGTATATACAAATTCTTAAACAAAATAATTACTCCTTCCTCTAATACAGCAAGAAACCACACTTTTCATGGCTCTTCTAATCCTTATCTATATGTGCCTTTTACGCTATTATTGTGTGGGAAAGGTTTCATTGATGGGTATCAATGTTCAGACTAGTTGAGGAGGCACAAATTCAAGCACCAATTACACAACGTTTTGTTGCCAATCTGCCAGTGTGGATGACTGTTTCAAGGGGAAATAGACTCTGCCTTGATAGCCAAATGGCAAATGGTCAGTTGAGTGCTCTCAGAGCAGGATATAGGTGGTCTGCATCCCTTGCAGCGGTTTAAGCCGGGTGTTATGAACTGAATGGTGCAACCCCCCTTACCCCCAAACACACTTCATATGTCCCAATCCTCAGTATCTCAGAATGTAATCGTATTTAGAGATAGGACTTTTAAAGAGATGATTATGTTAAAATGAGGCCATTAGGATGGGCCCTAAACCAAGCGTGCCCACACACACACACACACACATACACACACACAAAACCCTCTGCAAAGGAAGGAGACAGGCCTCAGGGGAAACCAACCCTGCTCCACACTTTGATCTTGGACTTGCAGCCTCTAGAACTGTTAGGAAATACATTTCTGTTGTTTCAGCAACTGACTATGGTATTTTGTTATGGCAGCCTGAGCAGAGTAATACACTATGCTTTAGGAAATGACTAAAGTTTGAAAAAAAAAAAAACTGCATTATGAGTAAAATCTGTGCTATTTTACCAAGCAGCAATTTAGGTGCATGGACAGACAACACACAGCAAGGTCTCACTTGGGAATAAGTTAAGCTTTGTGGCCACCAGTGATGAGAGAAGTGCAGGTGTTTTCTGTCCTCGGTCCACATCACCTGCACCTCGTGTGGTTCCTTTAGGACCTACATGTCTTTCAGATTCCCTTGTTATTTTCACTGCCAAAAAGTTAGGGCTGTTGCTGCTATTGGATTCGATGGCTACATAGCTCTGCCTTGAACTATGCTTTGGTAAATTCAAATTCCCTTGGGTTCCTTTCTCTCTCTGTGCTGTGTGATTTGCACAGGCTAGATTTCTTGTTGGCAATATGTTCCATAAGGGGTCCTTGACTTTCTCGTCTTTAAGCAAACACACTCTTGCTCATATGGTTGGTTACCCACTGGTTACCTCCTTCGGGGTTTTGCTAACCTTTCTGGCCACAGGTGCTACACTGCCAATTGTTACACATGAGCCAGCCTCATTTCAATAACTACTTGTTGAAACTAAAAGAACTTATTAGGAACTGGGGTAAAAACCAGTCTAATCTGTAGACTTAATCTTCTCTCCCACCACAGTGACTGGACCATGTTAAACTTTGGCTCAGGTGGTCTCCTAGCAGAGTATCTCTAGGAAGAACGCTTTCCTGAAACAACAGATTGTTTTCTCCAAATACTTCTAACTTTCCTCTTCCATTTGCTCTTTCTCAATCTGGATGACAAAATTACAAGAGCCTAACCTTTTGTTTATCAGAAGTCCTCTGGAGAACAGTCCCCTGTCACTTTCAATGTCTTCTCATTTCTCTTTCCCTCTAGCCATCTTCCAGTCCACAACATAGGTTAAATGTGGACTATACTTTTATCTTCCCATTTTGTCTTTCCCATTTACTAATTAAGCATAACTACCATTGATTGTGTGCTTATTAAGTGCCAATTATTGTGATAAAGCATTTTAAATTATTTTTGCCCATTTGTTCTGGGCAAAACCCTATTGTCATTATCCATATTTTATAGAATAACAGGTTTAAGCTTACCAAGTTCAAGATGTGCCCAAAGACACAGCCAGTAAGGAATACTGTCCACACCGAAGCCCTTTATTACCTGTTAATCATTTTTAATGGGTGCTTCATAGTTTGCTGAACTTTCATGGCTTATGTAAGCATTCCTTAACTGGTGGGCATTTAGGTTATAGCCAGTTTCTGGTTCTTAAAAGTAGTGCTCTTAAAACATCTTTGCGCATATAGCTTCGTCCTCTAGAATAACTTCCTTAGGATAAACGCCTGGGGGGGGGGGGGGATTGTCTGATAAGTTTCACAGTTCTAGTTACCCACTGGTGTCTGGCCAAATTTTAATGTTGCTGAAGAACTTCAGATCCAAAGGCAATTTATTGGGCTGTTTCCGACAGCACCAATTACATTCATAAAGGGCACGTTTCTGCTGAAACCACCAGCCCACAGAGGGAAGTAAGGAGAGCTCTAGCCTACAATTATGACGTTTCCATCACCGGTGGTTCTCAGCAAACCAGTGGTTGGCCCACAGCAGGCAGGCAACAAATATCGTCAGATTGGCTAATTATAGGCACTAATGGGGTTCTGAAGGCCATAACCGGAAGTCATGTTGGATCAGCTACTATTCCATAACACTCCATTTTGAAAACTTCCAGGAATAAAGAGTTCCAAGTGACGGGGGACATTTTCAGCGGCGTTAGGTATCTCTAAATGTCTTCAATGGACACAGAACAGAAGTGGATTCAGAGATGGCCGGGAGGCCAACCCTCCGGGGCCACTAAAAGACTGGAAACAGATCTGAAATACAGGGGACTCCGTACTGAAGAGTGAAATGCAAAGACGCCCCGATGAGACAGCGGCGCCAGAGGCATTCTGCAAAAAACATACACACATTCCCCGGGTCCGCCTCAGCCCCTGACCAACCATGCCTCTCAGTTTAGGGGGGACGGGTCAGTGGCCGCTGTTTCCCTGGGTCCTGAAACGTACCCAGAAGCAGAGCAGGGCAGGGAGCCCCTTCCCAGGACCCGGGGTCTGAAGTGCCCGCTCCCAGACGCGCGCCCAGCAGGGGACGCGGGGCCGGTGTCCGACCCGGGGGCGCCGCACGGGAGCGCGCCGTCACCACCGCGGCTCCAGCCGCAGCCACGACGAGCGTCAGGGGCTCCTGGGCCCGAGATGTGGCGCAAAAGAAAGGGGCGTGTGTGCGCGTCCTGGGCGAGGATCGATAGTACAGATTCTATACCTTTCCGCCGTTCTCAGGGCCTCCCCGGCCGCCCCTCCACTTGACGGCCAGGGTCCTCGCCGGCTCCGGAGCCAGCGCCCAGGCACCCAGGCAGCGGCGAGTGAAACCGAGAGCCCGAAAGACGGGGGGCGGAGCGGGGCCCGCGAGGCCCGCGTCCTACCTGCGTCCCCGTGTCCCGCCCTGGCGCCGAGGACCAGGCTACCAGGTCGGCCTCCCGCAGCCCGAGGAGGCGCCTCTCGGAAGAGCAGCCGCAGCCTGCGGAGGAGGAGCGCCATGACGCCGGCCGCAGTCCCGCCCCGCGCGCCGCCTCGCCCTGCGTCCCCGCCTCCCGCCCCGCGCTCCACCCTCCCGCGTCCCTCCTCTTCCCCCTCCGGCTGCTGCCCCTACCCACCTTCCCGCGGCTCTCCCTGCACCCCACCCTCTTGCCCTCCCGACTGCCCCCTCCCCTTCTCCCAGCCTCTCCTTCGGGCCCCTGCCCCCGCCTGCTCCCCGCCTGGCCCTGCCCCAACCACCCGTGCCCACTCCGCTCTTCCCCAATCCAACTGGTCTTTGTGCGTTTTCCAGAATTCTGGATAAAGGGAACTATAGATTGGTTTGCATTTTTTTTTTTTTTTTTTAGTTGACTATAAGTGAAATCATAGGAAATGTACTTGATTTTGGCTCACTTCTTTCAGCATAAATATTTCAACACATTCGTGTTTTTTGAGTGTAAGTTATTCATCCCTTGTTAGTACTAAGTAATACTCCATTTATGAATATCCCATGAATATCCCAATACCACAATGTATTTATCTAGTCACATGTTGGTAGGCATGTACAATGTTTCCAATTTTTCCTCATTGGAAATAAAGCTGCTAGGAACATTCCTGTACACATCTATGTACAGATATGTGCTTTTCTCAGGTAAATAACTGGAAATGGAATGGCTAGGTCATAGGTAAGTGTAACTTTTTAAGAAATTACAAAAATGTTTTCCAAAATGGTCATTTCCTTTTACATTTCCACCAGCAGGTGTGAGAGTTCCAGTTCCTCTGCATCCTTGTCAACACTCGAATAGCCCGACTTTTTAATTGTAGCCTTTCTAATTAGTGTGTAGTGGTATCTCATCGTGGTTTTGTTTTGCATTCTCTAAAGATGTGGACATCTTTTTCATGTGCTTATCTACAGTGGATATCTTTTCTTTGGCGAAGCATCTGTTCAAAACTTTTGTCCGTTTATTATTGGGCTGTTTCTTATTATTGAGTTCTTTATATATTCTGGATACAAATCCTTTATCAAATATATGCTTTACAAAGGTTTCCCCCAAACAGACTTTGGCTTAGTTTTTCTATCTCCTAATAGTGTCTTAGGAAGAGCAGAACTTTTTAATTTTGATGAAGTCCAGTGTATTTTTTTTTCCTCTTTCATAGGTCATGCTTTTTTGGTATCATATTTAAGAAATTGTTCTCTAACTCAACTTTTTTTCCTATATTTTATTCTAAGTTTTCTAGGGTTTTTTTTTTTTTTGGTTTGTTTGTTTTAGTTTTGTATTTAGGTCTACGGTCCATTTTGAGTAAATTTTGTATATACCAAAATTTTTTATTTTTTTCTCTCGTTTTGTTGTTTTTGCATATGGATAGCCAGTTGTTCCCAAACCATTTGTTGAAAAGACTACCCTTTCTCCGCTTAACTGTCTTTGAATATTTATCAAAAATCAGTTTTTCATCCATGTGTGGGTCTATTTCTGGATGTTCTACTCCGTTCTGTTTATCGGTTTGTCTATCTTTACATCAGTACCATAATGTTCTGATTGCCACACTTGGAATCAGCTAGTGTCAGTGCTGAATTTTTCTGTTATTTCCCAAGGTTGTTTTGGTTACATTAGGTATTTTGTATCTCAACATAAATTTCAGATTCAGCTCAATTTCTACAATTTTGATTGGGATCGCATTGGCTCTTTCCATAAATTAGGGGAAGATTGATATCATAATAATATTGAATCTTCTGACCCATATATAAGATATGCCTCTCTCGCCGAAACCGGTTTGGCTCAGTGGATAGAGCATCGGCCTGCGGACTGAAGGGTCCCGGGTTCGATTCTGGTCAGGGGCATGTACCTGGGTTGTGGGCACATCCCCAGTGGGAGATGTGCAGGAGGCAGCTGATCGATGTTTCTCTCTCGATGTTTCTCTCTCATCGATGTTTCTAACTCTCTATCTCTCTCCCTTCCTCTCTGTAAAAAATCAATAAAATATATATATATATATATATAAAAGATATGCCTCTCAATTTATTTAGGTCTTCTTTAATTTTTCTCAACAGCATTTTACAATTTTTTGGTGTATAGGCTTTACACATCTTTTGACAGATTTATCCTGAAGTATTTCATATTTTTGATACTATTGTGTTTTTTTTTATTTCTGGTTATTTCTATATGATTGTGTCTTGATCTTGTATTCTTCAGCTTTGCTAAACTAATTATTTCTAGTAATATTTTTATAGATTTTATCACATTTTCTACATAAACAACCATGTCATCTGTGTTCAGTCTCTCACATTAAGTATGAAATTAGCTATAGACTTTTTGTAGATACTCTGTCAGAGCAAGGAAATTCCCATGTATTTGCTTTTACTGCAGCAATTAAGATAATCATATGTTTTCTTTCTTTTTTTTAGTGGTTTATTTTCAGATGTTAAACCAATTTAGTATTCCTGTCATAAACCCAACTTTATCTGCTTTTTTATCAATTTTATATATTGTAGGATTTCATGGATTAAAAGTTTATGTAGAGTTTTTGTGTCTATGATCATTAGAGAGAGTTTTGTTGTTTTTTTTTTGTTTGGTTGGTTTTGTATCTGAGAAATAAAGAAACCGATTCAGATCCAGGGAAGTTAAGTAGCATGTCCTGACTTTTTAATCGTAGCCTTTCTAATAGTGAGTGGTATCTCATTGTGGTTTTGTTTTGCATTCTCTAATGATGTGGACATCTTTTTCATATGCTTATCTACAGTGTATATCTTTTCTTAAACCAATTTAGTATTCCTGTCATAAACCCAACTTTATCTGCTTTATTATCAATTTTATATGTTGTAGGATTTCATTGATTAAAAGTTTGTGTAGAGTTTTTGTGTCTATGATCATTAGAGATAGTTTTTTTTGTTTGGTTTCTATATGCTACTAGTTAGTGGAAGAGTGTGTAAAGTCACTCTAAAGTTTAGAATTTAGAAACTGTAAAGGAATAGCAAAAGTTAACCTACCCATCTTCATTCCCCAATCACAAAGTTAAGCAATGAATTTGGCCCGGTCGATGTGGCTTAGTGGTTGAGCATCAACCTATATGAACCAGGAGGTCACAGTTCAATTCCTGGCCAGGCCACCTGCCTGGGTTGTGGGCTCAATCCCCAGTAGGGGGTGGGTAGGAGGCAGCCAATCAGTGATTCTCATTCTTGATATTTCTCTCTCTCCTCTCCTTTCTTCTCTCTGAAATCTATTTTTAAAAAATGAATTTAACTTGTGTCAGTGAAAAACATGGTATCTGCTCTAAGACCCAGTTCAGGATAGCTTCCATTTAAAAGATGCATGACCTTGATTAAGTATTCCGTCTGTCTCGGCTTCAGTTTCCTTATCCCTAAAATTGGGTTATTATGAGGCTAAGAGACAGTCTATATTTTAAAACCTAGCAAACCTTCTAGACATATTGGTTTTGATGAATGTTACTTGTTTTTTGTGAAGATGTAATTAGGAAGACAGTGATGGGTAAGCAGAATTGATAAACAAACCATGCCTGCATTTCTGTCATCCCACACTTTCAGAAAGACATTCCAAACACAGAGGGAGTGCCTTCCTCCCTACTGCTGTTCTCCCTCAAACCTGCTATGAGAACTCTTGCCTTATCTGCTCAGACCCTTTCTGGTCTTGAAATGCCCCCTTTGCCCTCCACCATTCGTCTAAATCCAATTTAACCATTAAGACCATGCACTCATCTCTAATTAGCTCTATAGTCTCAGCCTGAACAAAACACGACTTTATGTTTTACCTTCCACTTAATAACACTGAATGGAAGAGACTGTACTAGTTTCCTGTCCAATATTCATTCTCCTCTTGTCATTTACAGTCTTTATTTGATTGAGGGTAGCAATGTGCCTAACTAGAATGCTACACCCACCAGCTAGCTCCCTTGTGCCTAGTGCTGGTCATTTCACACCGTCTGGGCAATGGTAGAAGCAGGGGTCTCCAGAAGGCTTGCAGGGCATAAAGAGGACCTGACTCGATTAGCACGGCCTTTTGCTCTTCTTTTTTCCTTATGCTGGAAAGTAGTCATGGTGGCTGGTCGACTAACAATCTTCCGGTACGTGCGATGGTGAGACCCACACTCTGATATTAAAGAAGTAGATGTCAGGAAGGGGCCTGGGTCCCTGGTGACACTGTGGAGCCAATATAACGGCCCTGGGTTGCCTACCTTCACATTTCCCATACCTGAGAGACAAGTCCAGATTTTCTTTAAACCACTGCTATTTGGATTTCCTGTTTCACTGTAGGTCTGGTGCCCTGAATTTGATTGCCAGATCTCCTGAAAAGGCAAGATTCTGTAACTTTACCTCTTTGTGTAGCTTTTCTTACAGACTGTAAGTGCACAAGAAACTGCTGTCCTGTGCATTGTAGGGTGTTTAGCAGCATTCTGAGCTTTACCCACTAGATGCCACTCGCATCCCCCTCCAGTTGTGACATTGCCAAATATCTCTTTGGAGCAGAATCACCTTTGGTTGAGAACCACAGATAGCATACATATAACTGTATCCTAAAACAGTTTAAACTATTGTTTAGTGCGTTTTAAAATCTCACACAAGGGGCATCATAGTGTTGGTATTCTTTTACAACTTGATTTTTATCATTCAGTATTTTACTTTTTAAAGATTCATTGAGATAGACAGAAAGCTATAGATCTAGTTCATTAATTTTAACTGCTGTATAGAGTGTGTTATATCAATAAACAGGAGGAAATCCATTATTCTACCTGGAGATAGTAAGATGTTTTCATTCTTCAGCTATTACAAAATCATGCTGCCATTCTACCAACAAACAACTTTGTACCAACTTCCTTGTTCGTGCAAGATTTCTCTAGAGTAGACATCTAGAGAGTGGCTGGATCAAGGCCTTCCCCCATTGCTCTTCAAAGTGGTGGCATGAACAAGGTTTATGACTCTGTTTCTCCACATCTTCACCAATATTTAATGTTACAAGACTCACTGTTTTTTTGCCAATATGATGAGTGCAAAATGAAGTTTCACTTAATTTTAATTTTTCTGGCTGGTAATGGGAT